TATCGTATCGACCGAAATAAAGAAATATATCGTGATATCAATTTTGGCCATATCGTCCAGCCCTATGTTGGATGTTATCATATATCACAGTTCAAAATTAAAACCATGAAAAATGTATTACTTGAAATAAACTTTAACTGAAATTTTTAAAAAAAATTATTTTAACTAGTTGCCAAAGCATTTATTTTCATTTAGTTTAACCCGGTGTAATAAAAGAAACTGAAACTGAAATAAAAATGAATAAAAACTATAGAAACAACTAACAAAATGAAAACACAAAATTCCTAAAACTTTAAAATTAAAACATAATAAAATAAAGACAAATTCAAAATAATTAATAAAAATTAAAATAATTACACAATTAAAAAAAAATAATCTGATAATCTAAAAAAAAAAAAAATCAGTAAAATTTGCATTCAGTATCTTTGCCTTTTGTTTCTCAGTAAATATATTAAAACAATGTACTACGTTAAAATGAAGGAATTTTCCTTATTGATTTTTTTACATTTCAAATATGCTTTGAATTGTGTTGTGTTTCAGGGTTAATGGAAATGACCGTAAACTTAACATATAATGTCTTGGCAGAAAATGACCGTAATACAAAGTTCTGTCATGAAACTCTAGATGGCGCAGGCCGATAGGTTCTAACTCAATCTGATATACATCATCACATCATTATTCACATGGCACAGCTGATTGGTTTCTTTCACATCAGCAGCCAATGAGCTTGCTGCTCGACATTCAAATACTTGGCCAGTGCTTGCTGTAGCAGTTGTAGCGCACTTCATAAACCCTCCACCTTCCCCAGCTCCACCTGTATAGATCTGCTACGGGGTAATTTCATGTATGTTATATATGGGTGATTTTTTTTATTGGTCTTATGGAGTATTCTAATTTGTTGAGATAGTGAGTTGGTGGGTTTTTGTTAAATGTGAGCCAAAATCTTCACAATTAAAAGAACCAAAGACTTAAACTACTTCAGTCTGTGTGCATTGAATTTATTTAATACATGAGTTTCACAATTTGAGTTGAATTACTGAAATAAATGAACGTTTCCACGACATTCTAATTTATTGAGATGCACCTGTACAGTTAAACCTAAGTGTAAATGCTTCAGTGTCCTGCCAGCAGGGTGCATGCTTGTCCACAAAGGACTTAGAGAAACATCACACACAAACGTGCTGGAAAGGTCATACAACGTGTGTGGCGTCCTTAATAAAATGGCAGAAGCACAATAATGGAATCCAAACCTAATTTTGAAAGATTGCTTGATCTGCAAATTGTGTATGTTGCACCACGGGCACAGCGTCTGAATCTCTCCTGGTGGGATATTAATAACCCTGCAGCTCTAAGAAATGGCTTGTAGGGCTTACGGACACAGGAAGGAGATTCATTTCACCCTTCCAGAGGGGGGTCACAAAATTTGTGCCCCCCTCTGAAGGAAATGAAGGAGAAGAGGATGAATATGAGAGTCATAGGCTGTCTTTCTGATGTAAAAAACAAAACAATGGAATTGAATTGAGTCACCTGTCTGGCTAAGGTCTCCATCCTCTCCTCCATCTGCCCTTCCTTTTTCTGGCTATTCCATTTTCTCATCTCAAGTTATTTTTATCTCCTTCTGTCTTAACTAATCTCTGTATTCTGTTCAAGGTTCATGCAAAAACGAAGAATCCAAAAACTGACGTACAACAAAAGTTATGATGAACCTGTACTGGTTTTGTAAACTATATCGACATACACTACCATTCAAAAGTTTGAGGTCAGTAAAATTAACACTTTTACTCAGCAAGAATGCATTAAATTGATCAAAAGTCACAGTAAAGACTTATAAAGATTTATAATTAGGGATGCACCTATACTGCACTCCTGTACTCGTACTTGTACTCGTAAAAATGCTCAGATACCAAAAGCTGGTTCCACACAACGTATGAATAGAGCTGTGTCCAGAAAAAGAAACACCGACAACAGAACAACAAAGAGTAGAATGGATTTATTAGAGATCAGGGATGTCTATGAAGTACATGTAAGTAATTAATATAATGTTAAACATTCAATATTCGCGCCTGTATACGAGCTGATAAGCAGAGCGCGCGTCGGCACAGATGCGCGAGATTGTCGAATGAATATCTCACAGACATCACTGGAAAGTTTGTAGTTCGGTCGGATATTTCAAAAGCAAGTAAGTAAAGCAATGCACAAGTTACAAAATTTATTTGACGGTAAGGAGAGAGAGAGAGTCAGAGAGCGTGCACTTCTGTCGCATGATCTTGATTGCTGTTCGCTCCATTAGTGCATGCAAGCAGTGTAGCAGATCTATTCCACCAAGACCAAACGCATTAACACTGCCATGTACATTACCATGCTAAACTCTCCTAGAGTTATCATAACAGAACTTATTTTTCCATGGATGTTGTGAAGATAAACGTAACTAAGAAACAAAATTGCATAAAATATTGCAATTTATGTATAAAATTTTTATAAAACTGTATACAAAAGTGCTTTTTTCCTAAAACAAACAAAAATGATAGGGGCAATCACTATAAACAACATTTATTTTAAACGTCAAGCTTACACAACTTTATTTAAAGCAAAAGTGAAATTAGCAGACTGTGTGAAATGCGCTAGGCTATAAGTGTCTAATACAAACGTGTGCACGCTGCACATGTTTAGCTTGCTTTAAAGGCCAAAGTATACTTTTTACTCCAACACGAGGGTCCGCGTACAGTTCGTGTGACGCAAATTACATCACCAAAATTGTATGTGCGTACTCGTATAATGTATAACGAGTGGTTCCCTGCATTATTTTAGGAAAACGTCTCATTATTACAGTATTGAGCTACTCTAATGGGCCATTAAAATGAACAGTGAAAGTAACAAAAGCTTATACAATACATTTTAACAGGTATAATTAAGTGTGTAAATAACTGAAGGAATTATCTGTTTGCTAAATGAAGCCATCTAACATTATTATTATTATTTTGTTTCTGTACCCAATATTTAAACAAAAATTCTGTTTGCTAAATGAAGCCATCTAACATGATTCATATTATTATTATTATTTTGTTTCTGTACCCAATATTTAAACAAAAATGTAAATGCTGTGAAAATACAGATATTGGTATCGGCGAGTACCAAAAATGAAAGTATCTGTATCGGACTCGTTCTGAAAAAAGTGGTATTGGTGCATCCCTATTTATAATGCTGTTAAAGATTTCCATTTCAAATAAATGCTGTTCTTTTAAACTTTCTATTCATCAGTGAATAGAAAACGTCTCGGGTTACTCACGTAACCCATGTTCTCTGAATAGGGAACGAGACACTGTGTAGCTATGACACAATGGGAGCACCCCTTGGGTGTGCAGAGTGTCTGAAGCCCATATGGAATCACGCCAATTAAATGGCTGATGGTGCAGGCCCCACCTTGACGGTACTATGTCACCCACTCTAATACTAGCGACCGCACCATCCAGAGGAAGCAACACTCCTGGTAGAATGAGCTTGAATACCTAGCGGTGAAGAGAGACCTCAGACCTCATAAGCATCCCTTACCAATGAGAAATTCTATGTTTTGATGCAGCGAGCCCTCTGTGGCCAGCACCAAAACACACCAACAATTGGGAGGACTTGCGCCATTGACTAGAGCGGTCCACATAGAACTTCAAAGCTCAAACAGGGCAGAGCAGGTGAAGCCTCTCGTCCTTAACAGAAGCAAAAGGAGGAGGACAGGAGTGAAGCACGACCACCTGGGAGCGAAATTACGTGGACAAGACCTTGGGGACATAACGCCTAACCCCACGCATAAACGAAGAGATCAAACGATGTCTACCTAGGGGGACTTAGTACACATACCTGCAAGCAGCAATAGCTGCAACATAAACTCTCAAGGTGGTAGCAGCCGCTCCAGCCGCAAACTTCTCCAGCAGAAATTCCAGCACTGAACCAATTGGGCAGCTGACTTGGTCCACTGCATGAGCTGAATATCACGACTCAAAAACCTTCCACTTAGAAGAATAAAGCCTCCTAGTAGAAGGAGCCTTTCATTATCAATGGTTTCCTGAATGTCCACAGGAAGACCAGAGGTTACAGCTGATTGCCCTTAATCGGCCACACCCATAGCATCCAAATCTTGGGTCGAGGGTGCCCTTGAGTTGAGACAGCAGGTCTTTCCTGATTGGAATCTCCCATGGGGTGTGCTCTAGAAGGGAGACTAGCTCCGAGAACCATGTCTGGGACGGCCAGAACGGGGCTATCAACAGGAGGCGGACCCCGCACTCCCTCACTCTGCACAAGACTGCAGGAATCAACTAGATTAGCGGAAATGCGTACAGCCTCAGATCTAGCCACGGGTGAGCAAAAGCATCTATCCCCAGAGGTGCCAGGTGACATACGGAGAACCAAAGGGGACATTGGGTCAATTCCTGCGATGCGAAGAGATTTACCTCCGCTCTGCCAAAAAGATCCCAGATCTAAGCCACTGTCTGGCAGTTCAGCATCCAGTCCCCCGACCTGAGTTTCTGCCTCGATCGGAAGTCCACTGTGAGGTTCAGAGCACGAACCGCTCATGAACCGCTCTCAGAGAAAGAAACCTGTCATGAGCCCAAAGAAGGGGGCGGCATGCATGCCTGTCCAGTGTGCGTGACTGTGACACTCTTAGTAGGAGGAGGGCCGGCCACGAGGGACAAACTCCTTTGGACTTCATCCACCACAGAATTGGCCTCATATATGAAGCAGCCCCAGGGGCAGCACAGGAGAGGCCATTGCCAAGAGACCCAGGAGTCTGCGACATGTGCTCAGTGAAACATGATGGACTAGCTTGAAGCGGGCCAAACAGGTTTTGATACCAGAAATCTGAGCAGGAGCCAAATGGGCCTGCATTGAAACAGAATTGAGGTGGACCCCCCCAAGAAAATGGTCCACTGAGAAGGGGTGAGAACGCTCTTCTGAGCATTCAACCTGAGGCCAAGAGATTGAAGATGGTGAAGAAGAATGTCTCTGTGACGACTCACCAACTCCCTAGAATGGGCCAAGATGATCCAATCGTCCAGGTAGTTGAGCACACGGATGCCCTGGAGCCTCAACGGGGGCCAGAGCAGCATCCATACACTTCCCTGGAGCCAAAGCCAGATCGAAGGGAAGAACCCTGTACTGGTACGCCTTTCCCCCAAAGGCGAACCTGAGGAACTTCCTGTGCTGCTGAACAACCTGAATATTAAAGTAAGCATCCTTCAGGTCTACAGTAACGAACCAATCAACGACTCGCAAAATGTCATCTAACATCTAAGGAATCATTATTGCGTGCCTCTGGGTTGGGACATAAATAATCGTGGAAAAACTCCACCGAATCCGTGCGAGAGAGGGAGAAAGGTCGAGGCCCGTCAGCTCACTTTCTATAGTCTCGAGCTCCACATCTGAACCGCAGGCCGCAGATTCACAAAGGGCCTCAGCGGCCTCCGGAGCAGTATGACGGGGGAAAACGGATCACCCCTTCTCAAAAACCGTGAGCCTCACGCGAAGAGCTTTGAGACAGAGATTCTCACAAAATGTACAGTTAGAAGAGCTGTAAAAAGCCTCATGCAAGTGAGACAAACCCATACATTTAACACACTTACTGTGCGAGTTGTCGCTCGCAATAAAGTGAGAGCACAGTGGATGGCAGCAATGAAACTCCATAGCACTTCACCACGAGGAGAAACGAGGTTCCATTGAATGCAGTCGCTAAAGTGCAAAAGAGAAACTCAAAGAAATAAGCCAAAACACGGGCCAGATAAATCGCTACTGAAGGGCTAAACGACCGCTTCTGAAGGAAGGAAATCTGAGAAGCGGATGGCGCAATCTCTAGTATTAGAGTGGATGACGTAGTGACGTCGAGGTGGAGCCTGCGACATCATTCAATGAATTGGCGTGATTCCATACAGGCTTCAGACAATCGGCACACCCAAGAGACGTTCCCATTGCGTCATAGCTACGCAGCATTGAGTGAACCTATGAAAGAGAACTATTAATCAGCACTACTGTTTTTAACATTGATAATAATAAATGTTTCTTGAGCAGCAAATCAGCATATTAGAATGATTTCTGAAGGATCATGAGACACTGAAGACTAGAGTAATGAAGCTGATAATTCAGCTTTGCATCACAGGAATAAATTACATTTTAAAATATAGTAAAATAGAAAAACATTCTTTTAAATGATAATAGTAATATTTCATAATATATTTTGATCAAATACATACAATACATTTGTATTTAAGTGCTGAATTGGTAAATCATCCTAATGACAGATTTTTTCCCAAAAAAGCAAATGTTTCTGCTGAATTAGCATCATTCACCTGCTTTGCCCTAGTCCTTTAGTCTAAACAATTTAATTTCTTCTCCATGACTTTCATGAGTCTGAATCACTTCCTCTCTCATAGTGTTTCGCTCTGTCCTTGGACCGATTTGACTTAATAATGTCATCAGTTCAGAATGATTCAACCCAGCAGATGTGAGGATCTTTTCACAGCACACAACACGTCAGAAAACACCTGAAACCTCTCTATATATAAAAATAAAAATAAAAACTGCTAATATACAGTCATGGAAAAAAGGATTGCACATACTCCAAGCATATCCTTAATGTAACTAATTTACAACAAATCTAAAACTGTTTGTTTGTCTAAAACTGAGGTTTGTCTTTGTTTTTACATAAGTGAGATTAGAAAAGTATTTCACTATATTTTACTATTATTTTGACTATAAATAACTATTTTTTAAAAAACTATAAATAGTGAGTTAACATTCAGAATAGAATCCATATGGAAATGCTTACAGTTTAGACCAGTTTGGACCATCATAAAATCAAAGACATTTGGGTTTTTAGATGGTTTTTAAGTATTAGATAATCCTGATCTGTTACTGGCATAGACTGGATTGTTTAAGGTAAACCAACATTGCTATGATGGGTGAACAGCTAGAACCAGCATGAAAGTACCCAAAACCATTACACTGGTTAATATGATGCAATAGGATGGTTTAATACATGAATAAATAAAATATATTTAAATTAAAAAGAATGTATGTATATTAAGTGAATAATATTATTACTAATACATGAATACCTGTTTATGAAATTATGTACTACGTAATAATTACTTAATACTGAGTTTATTATTATTATTATTAGTAGTAGTAGTAGTAGTAGTAGTAGGTTTATTATTATTATTATTAGTAGTAGTAGTAGTAGTAGTAGTAGTAGTAGTAGTAGTAGTATTAACACTGATGTGACAAAAGTTGCCCAGTTCACCTGAATTTACCCTAGTTTTGTAAAAAATAACCATAGTAGTAGGGCTGGGCGATATGGCCAAAAAAAATATTGCGATAATTTTTTTCATATCAGTCGATATCGATAATTATAACGATAAATGTCAAATCTTTATTTCTTTCAAGTTTAAAGCCAGATTTTTGCTCCACAGTGAAAGTTGTAGAAACCAGACCATTAATTTTCCTTAACAAAATAAATATCTAAATAGAAAAATTAGTTTCTGCATGTTCTAATGAGTGATATTGTTTCAAATCAAGAAACAAATTTGGGTTGCCTGATAATATTAATAATAATAATATCACTTTTTTGTCTCTTAGAAATGCACATTTGATAGTAGCTTGAGTTAGGATGCAGAGGTAAATATTTGTTCACTATCAAAATCAGTAACATCTGTAAAAAATTGCAGCAACCTCAGTTTTATATGGTTACATTTATTCTGACCAAGGTTTTTTTTTTATTATTAAACATTGGTCTCCCATAGTAGCATACATTTAAATCATGAATTCATGAATCATCAACACAGTTAAAACCACACATATAGCACCTCAATACAATGGTAAAAATATAACTATATGTTTTTAGGTAGCCTATTTGTATGAAAAACAGTAGTCTAAAAACATTCAGTATAAATGCACATATGCTATAGCTTAATCACAAATACGTACTATAATTACCATTACTCCTGTATTAAAATTCAGTGTGAATATTCCAAGTTTCTGCCACAATACCATGGTGCAGTGAGTGTTACTACAGTAAATGCATGGTAAATGATGGCGATGTGTAGATTGAAAAGCCTTCTGACTGTCTCGTTGCATACAGTGTTTCTCCTGTTTGGCTTTAAACTAGTTTAAATCACAGAGTAATTTGTGTTCATCGTTGAATTCAAGCGCTTTACACTGGATCTCACAGCACTGTTTAGTGCTCACGTGACCGAGTAAACGCATCTGCTCTAGTGAGCTCGCGCCGCGCGGCAGTTTGAACTTTGATCCGAGCGGATAAATGGTCCGTGTGTGGGGCGCTTCAAATGAGTCGCGCTGTTTCGTTCCGCTTTTGGCGCATAAACATTATATCGAACATTTACCGAACACTTCATATCGTTTTATCGAGGAAAATTATATAGCGATAATTATCGTTATCGAATTATCGCCCAGCCCTACATAGTAGTTTGCAACTTTTGTCCATGACTGTGGTATTGATCCAAGATCAGGTCTATCGTAAAACTTCATGCTGAACCCCATGCAGGAAAAACTTCAGCTCAGATGTTGAGAGAAATGACAGCAGACATAGAAAACCATAGCAGTCTCCACAGCACACAGCGTTTCTCATTCTCTTACCCACTGAGTACACCCAGGACAAGATTCAACACAAAAAACGAGCCCAAAATGATCAGACTAACAAAGTAGATCCACGGCGTCTCCCAGCCAATGGCGTCATTCACCTACAGGGGCCCAAACAGGACGGTTAACCCAGAGAGAGAGGCTACATTTAGCTGAGAGAAACACCAGGGATGGAGTTTAGTCTCGGGAGAGAGAGAGAGAGAGAGAGAGCGAGAAAAAAAATTTGGAGATCAGGGGCTGTAGTGAAGAGAAAAGAGGAGCTGCTCACCCGCTCAACACACCCAGAACCAGGTTCAAGACGAAGAAAGAGCCGAAGATGACCAAGCTCACAAAGTACACCCAGGGCAGCTCCAACCCCATAGCATCATTCATCTGAGAGAGGAGAGGAAGTGAACGAGGAGGAAGAGAGAAAGAGAGAAACGAATGAAAGATTTGGGATGAAACAGAAACTGTAAGGAGAAGGTTAAAAATAGGCCTAGAGAAGACATTATACTCAAAATCAAACTGGATTTCAGTTTTAACACATTTAGATGTTTTGAATAAATACCAGAAGGCTTTCAAAAGTACAACTTCTAATAAAAAAAAATTGAGTGTAGGATGAAGTCAATACAAAGAAAAGATAAAGGTGAAGTCCCACACACTGTCCATAAGCTTGCAAGAATTGTATTGAATAAGCTACATTTCAGAGACCTTTGTCAGGCATTTTCTTTGAATAAATAAATAACTGAATTTATATATAAACCTTTTTCAAGTATTTTCTTTAAACAAATAAATATTTAATTAAAAAAGAAACATTTTATCTCTAGTCTACCCTGACCAAACCACTGAAAATGATGAAAATGATTTATGTAAAATAAAAAATATAAAAAAGTATATATACAAATTATTTTATATATTTTTTATTAATTTAAATCAAAATTATTTATTTTAATTTAATTTGATAAATTATTTATTAATTTTAATATATACAAATTAATAAAAACATACATACATATATAAAAAAAATTATATTAATTAATTAATTAAAATAATTAAATATATGTATACTTATCTATATCTATCTATAAATTGTAAAATTTTAACTTTTTTCCAGGAGGCAAGCTTTATTACCATGCATGCTGGATTATGCATATTTACATGTTAAATTTGGGCATGTCAAATAAGCAGTTACTTAGATTTCCCGTGAATCACCCCAAAAAATTATATGTTGAAAATCTATCTGACGTTTATGCTGCTGTAAATGAAGTGTGTGCTGTGATGAAATGGAGGAAAGATATTCCAGCGGATGATGTGAAAGGTGGGTGGATCTCATCAGAGCACACTGGTCAGTCACAGACCCTTGAGTTCCTGCTTCAGTGTGTGGGCTGCTAGTTTGAGCTTCTCACACTCTCCTCAAAGCAGTAATGACTGTACAAGCACTTCATCCTCTCCACACAAATATAATTATTGACTAACATTCATTATAGTACTTCAACAAGAAGACGTGCTAGCTAGGATGCGAGAGGAAGTAGCATGCTAATACTAACCCAGTAGAGCACATCCGTCCAGCCCTCCATGGTAATGCACTGAAACACAGTGAGCATGGCAAACATGAAGTTGTCGAAGTTCGTGATGCCTCCGTTGGGGCCGTGCCAGCCCTCCTTACACACGGTGCCGTTAATGGGGCATGTGCGGCCATGACCGTTAACAGCACACGGCGCAGGTTCATCCTCTGCTATTATTTCTGCAGAAAGAGGAGAGAAGATCAAACTAAACAAGCATAATATTTCTAAACACTTTCCAACAATTCACGAATTGCAATGCGTTGAAAACATGAATCTATATTCATATTATGTACACTGTAAAAAAAAGGATTTTATAAAGTTGTAAACAAAACGAATATTATTGGTGTTTCTTATACTAAGAAAGTACTATTTCAGTCGTTCTACTTCAAATCAGCATATAGATGCTAATTTAATGTCACAACAACAGTATTCTATGATGATGATGTGTCTTCCAGAAATGGAAAAAAATATCTATAGATTAAACTCCATAAATATATTTTTATACATCGCTTGAGTCAGAGCTCTCCTGCAAAAACTTGAGGCGCATAAACCGCGCGCAGAACGCTCACTGCCAACCGAAAACAATTTTAAAAAGGCGCCTCTCACTGCAAAAAACTCGTTCTGTGTGATCGGGGCCTAAGTCTCCTGTGACTAATGTCTCCAGGCCTCAGATGTCAGGTGCTGCGTTTACAAATTATTTCTCATTTCCAGCAGAACACAGAAGAGGCCACTTCCTCCAGCTCACTGACACCAAAGACCGACAGAAAGCCCCTTCGCAACAGTGGTACGCAAGCATTACATTTTAGATTAGGGAACACATATTCACTATCAAGAGTTTCCTTCAATAAACTCCTAATTTGCTGCTTATTGATAGTAAGTAAGGTAGTTGTTGTAGTAGTTATGTTTGGGGTTAAGGGATGTAGAATATGGTCATGCATTAATATGTGCTTTTTAAGTACTAATAAACAGCCAACATGCTATTAATATGCATGTTAATAAGTTAACTAGTTAATAGTGAATAGTGTTACTTAACATTTTCAGTATTTACAAAAAGTAAATGTTAACTGAAATTAAAATATATTTAAAACATGTATTTTATTTCAGCTAGTAGCCAAGACAATATTTCTCATTTTTGTTTAGTTTAACTTTAAGTATTAATTTTTTTACAATTATTAAAATTAAGAAAAACTATGTAGACATTTTTTAAAAATCAAAAACTAATTAAAATGAAAAAAAAAAAAAAACTTGTTGCATCTTTCCCAAAAAGACTCATGGCTGTATTAGATCAAAAGGGTGCTTCTACTAAATACTGAGCATTTTTCAGTTTTTCTTTTTTAATAAATCTGCAAAGATGTCAACAATTCTGTGTTTTTCTGTCAATATGGGGTGCTGTGTGTACATTAATGAGGAAAAAAAATTTACTTAAATGATGTTAGCAAATGGCTGCAATATAACAAAGAGTGAAAAATTTAAGGGGGTCTGAATACTTTCCGTACCCACTGTATAAACTGTAAAATGTGTTAACCAACAAATGTAATCTTAAAGAGCTATTTCTACCCAATTTAACTAAAATGTGTTTTGTTGGTATAGATTATTTTATATTGGACAATTGTATATTGGATTATTGTATATTGCATAAATCCAGTTAAATTAAATGTCACCATTTTTTGCAGTGTACTCACTATAAGTGAAGACCATAACAACTTTTAAATAGGGACTTCCATTAGAAAATGTATTATTAGTAACCCCTAATGTTTTTTTTTTTTTGTTGTTAATGACACAAAAGCAACGTGAAAAAAACTTTCACAGAAAACTGTCCTTTTGTGTTCCTCAGAAGAAAGACTTCTAAAGACTCCGCTTGAATTATGACTAGAAAGAATGATAATGCTGACTATAAATTATATTATAATTCTATTATTATTATGATGTTTTTATAGATTATAAATTACAATGTATAACTGCAATTATTGCAATATACAGTACTGTTTAAAAATACTGAGGTCAGCAATATTTTTAATAATATTATTAATACTTAAAATATTAATAGTTTTATTCTGCAAGGATGTATTAAATTGATCAAAAGTGAAATATATATATTACATATATATATATATATATATATATATATATATATATAAAATTAAGTTATAAAAACCTAATATAAAAGATGGTTACATTCTTTGAAACTAATATAAAAATTGTTTTATAAAATTGCTTGTAATCTTGATGTAAAGTAGCAGGATTATAGCCAAAATATCAAAACATCTTTGGATTATAAAATAGATAAACCACTTCCACCATCACATGTCTGCGTGAACTTTCATCAATGTGCCAAAACATAAACAGCAAGACATTCAATCTGAACAACATCAGGCGGCATCATCTGCTGTACACATGATAAAAAAGCAGCATGTGATGACCTGAAAGGACCATGGTGCACATCTGAATAATGATGTACTACAGGACCTCGGCAACAGCAGATAAAATAAGAAAAAATATATTTCTATCAAAAATTGTACTTTGAATGCATCCGCTTCTATTACAATAATCACAAGCCTTATTAATGCCGCATCTGCTGTACACATGATAAAAAAGCAGCATGTGATGACCTGAAAGGACCATGGTGCACATCTGAATAATGATGTACTACAGGACCTCGGCAACAGCAGATAAAATAAGAAAAAATATATTTCTATCAAAAATTGTACTTTGAATGCATCCGCTTCTATTACAATAATCACAAGCCTTATTAATTATTAGCGTTTTGCCCTTTAAAGAGTGACTACCTATCTGTGAGTATTCTTGGCTAATCTTCAGCTGCAGGGGGGCTGCTCTGCAGGAGCTAAAGATCAAGAGTGACAGCCCCGTGAACAGAGAGACGGGTAGGTGAAGAGAGAGAGGGAGACAGCTCTTCTGCATTAGGCGAACTGATCGAAATGTGACCTAGCTATGCAGTGGACTGTGTGTGTATGAGTGAGATAGAGATGCTGATAAGGAAATACAGAGGAAGAAGAGGAGAGTGTACACAGAATGAGATGATCTACAGAGAAGCCAACAGGCTGAGTGGTGAGAGATACAGATGTAGAAGTTAAGACTGTTTCATATCACATTTCATTTTTTTTTCTCGCAAACACTTTCTATTCAGTAAAATGATGAACTGAATTTAGATGATTTAAGTAGTATATAGCAACAGTGTGGTGTTTGGTTTAGATTAAAAGGAAAATTCTGGGTTCATTTCAAGTTAAAGGGGTCATCGGATGCAAAATTCACTTTTCAAGTTGTTTGAACATACAGCTCCAGACATCTGAGCCGCTGAAGACGCAGAGGATTAACATTACTTTTGCTTTGAAGTGAATGCGCCGATCCCGATCAGCCTAAATGAGTCTATGTTCGCGCGAATCATTCATGATCCAGCCTTATCTACAGAAGCAGTGAGTATGTTTTGTAATGAATCTTTGCAAATCGCCTTTCCTAATAATGTGCTAATTAGCAAGTTTCAAGATGAATGCGGCTAAAGTAAACAGTCTCTCTGAGAGCAGCTTGGAAGAGAGGGGCGTGGCCAGCAGAGCTCATTAACATTTAAAGCAACATGGACTATAATGGCTTGATAAAAAAAGAGCTGATTTTGACAGGTTTAAAAAGGTGTTTTTTACACTACCATTGAGACATTTTAACCAAAGTATGTTATAGACTTTTAATTAAGACCCTAAAGAATCATATCAACTTGTGCAAAATGGGTATCCGATGACCCCTTTAAGATCAAATCAACAGAATATGTTGATTCTTAAAAAAAAAAACAAAGCAATAAATGAATAAAAAATAAAAATAAATGTACAAAACTGTCGGGGTCGATAAAATGTTTTAATGTTTTTGAAAGTCTCATATGCTCACCAAGGCTGCATTAATTTGATCAAAAATACAGTAAAAACAGTAATATTGTGAAATATTATTACAATTTAAAAAACTCTTTTCTATTTTAATATATTTTAAAATGTAATTTATTCCTGTGATTCAAAGCTGAATTTTCAGCATCATTACTCTAGTCTTCAGTGTCACATGATCCTTCAGAAATCATTCTAATATGCTGATTTGCTGCTGAAGAATCATTTCTTATTATTATCAATGTTAAAAATAGTTGTGCTGCCTCATATTTTGTTTTTTTCATGATTCTTTTAAAGTTCAAAAGAACTGCATTTATTTGAAACTTAAATATTTTGTTACATTATAAATGCGACCCCAAACTTTTGTATTGTTAGTTTTTTTTTTTTTTTTATATAGCAGAAATCGGGGTTATAGTAAGACACTTACAATGAATCGAATAGGGTACAATAGTACAGACAGGAGTGTAATTTATATGCATGTCAACATGATTTTAGTGTGAACGAAACCTTTACTAAACTTTTCTGTGTAAAGTTATATCCAATTTTACAACTTCTAAAACCCTAAAGCTACCGTAAAATTGGTGAGAACAACTTAACAGCTCAAATAATAAATCAGTTTTAATTGAAGAATTAATTTAAGTGTATTTCTAAAATTAAATGCTTCACAATTCTGCTTTTAAATAATCAGAAAAATTGGCCCCATTAACTTTCAACACAAGAACCACATCATAACACTGATTTTGGCTCTTTTTAAAAAAAAATATTTTTTGTAGTAATCAACATTAAGCTACAGATGCTGTTGATCAAGCTTGTAACTATAAAGAACCCAGAATATTACTTTAAATATTATTTGAATGTAAATGCGGTCTCGCTCTTCATGCAAATTAGATTTCATGAATATCCAAGTTGTATATAATTCTCAAATGGCACACTCTCAATAACCACTGTATAATGTATAGACGTTATTAAAGCAAATGCTAAATGTAGTACGACAGTGTCACTTTTGAACATGTTGCTCCATTTTTTGAAACAGATCAGTATTTTATCTAATAATATTACTTGACTACATTGTTTGATTACACCAGCTGCAAATTACTTGCCTGATTATGTATAAAATGTAAAATTTACCAAAATTATATTGAGGAGAAAGACACAAAGAGGTGTCAACTGGCCAAATCTGGAGCCTTTGTCTACTACAAATTTGAAGAAAGACATATTTTCAATGTGTAAGAAGTGTCTAAAATTAGTTTTAAAGCAAATGCTCAATGTAGCAATCCAGAGAACACTTTTTTTCTGTATAGAGACGCAGTTGTGTTACGCAGCACAAGCATTTGTCAGTGTGAAAGCACAACGTGATCCTGATGGTGCAGTTACACTGCTTTTGCTTACACACACTGTTTATGCATGCGCTATGAAACAGGCCTGAGGCACGGACAAAAGACGAGCAGCTTTCTTCTTCATCCTTTTATCTTTGGGCTTCTGCATCTTTTTTAGGCTGATACAGTAGAAAGTGACATGAAATGAAAACATTTAAATAAAAACCAGTCTGAGGAGGTTAAGGATTACTCCTCATCTACCACATCTTTAAAAAACAAACAAAAAAAAGCTGAACAGTTGATATAAAGCAACTAAGGCTGGCAAATGGACACTGGAAGAGTAGGTCACCAGCAAACATGGTTTTTGAATATTGTTCATCTGAGAATAAAAGAGTGAGTAATACAGTCCACGATGAACTCTAATCTAAAATCAGGAGATGCTCCACAGAGGCTTGTATAATGAGACGGTATAGAGAAAGACTGCAGCTCAGGTCTTTTCTGGGTCATATAGCCGCATGAGGAGTGTGCGTGTGTGAGCGTGTGTTGGGAGTTGAGGAGAATGTGAAGAACCACAAAGGAGGAAAATTTGTGAAAGTGACATTCTAGAAGATGATGGAATAAAGGAAACAGGAAGAGAAAGAAAATGAGATGATACATTGGCATATATGTCTTAACCTTATCTTTCTTAAGTGCCATCCTTCTACATATAGACTACTGTTCAAAAGTTTGGGGTCAGTAAGATTTTTACCCCTAATATATAAATATATATATATAGAGAGAGAGAGAGAGAGAGAAATTAATACTTCTAATCAGCAAGGATGCATTATATTAAACAAAAGTGACCTTAAAAAATATAATGTATAATGCTACAAAAAAATATCAATTCATCAAAGAAAACACAGCTTCCAGAAAAATGTTAAGCAGTAAAACTGCTTTCAAAATTGATAATAATGAGAAATGTTTCTTGAGCGGCAAATCATATGACAATGTGAGGGATCATGTAATGATGCTGAAAATTCAGCTTTGCATCACAGGAAGAAATTGCATTTTAAAATATATTCAAATAGAAAACAGTTCTTTGAGACGTGAATAATATTTCTGTTTTTACTGTATTTTCCATCAAATAAATGCAGCCTTGGTGAGAACATAAACATGCATAGATATATAAATACATATGCATATTGCATATATAAATAAATGTATAATTTATTTAATTTATGTTGCAGCATTTTTTAAATTTAGCCATTTTTATTTGTTGTTATTACTTCATTGATAATATTGTCAGCTGCTAATGTTTTGACAATATAAATGTAAAATGTACAATTTGAATTTAATTGGGGGGGAAAAAAACAAGAAATCAAGGAGGAAAAAAATAAAAGTGACAGAAAAAGATGTACTGTTTGTAATCAAGGTGATGTGCAATAACTTTGAGTTAACATGTGAACAGTACGCTCTTAAAAATAAAAGGAGGTTTTCACAGCAGTGGCACTGAACCATTTTGTGAACAGCTCTTAAAAGAACCATTTTTCTCCTTATTGTGAAGAACATTTTAATATTCAGAAGAACCTTTTTTTCACTATAAAGAACCTTTTGTTCAATGGAAAGGCTCCATGGATGTTCATGAAACCATAGAACCTTTATATTATAGAGTGTAGCAAAGCTTTAGAATATAAGCAGACAAAACATACCCTATGACGACAATGACGAAATCCAGCATGTTCCATCCGTTTCGGACATATGCGTTCTGATGCATCACCAAGCCGTACGCTACGATCTTCAGGAAGGTTTCGATAGTGAAAATGATAAGGAAGGCATATTCAACTGTTTCCTGTACGAGACAGAAGAGGGAGAGAGAGAAACGAATCGATAAGATGCGAAGAGTGTACAATAAATGCCTTTCCAACCCAAAATTAATTATTTGAGAGTGAAAGTAAATTAAATGAAAATTAGAAATATAGTTCATGATTTGAGTTATCATCATGCCTGTAACACAAACACTCACTTATGTTTAAATGGGTCATGAAATGTAAAAATCTAAATGTTCTTTATATTTAGACATAAATAAGGAAGCTTATAATATGGACGGTAATTGAGACTTATTATCCCACAATTCATACTTTTCTCACAATTATCAGAATTGTGAGATATTAACTCAGAATTGAAAGTTTATTTCTTGCAATTTTGAGTTTATAAAGTCAGAATTGTGAGATAAAAACTTGCAACTGCGAAAAAATCTGAATTGTGAGATAAAATGTCACAGTTATGTTTTTCGGTGGCGGAAACAAACAAAAAAAGAATTGTGATTTAATTTAGAATTCCGAGGGGAAAAAAGCAGACTTGAGATATGTATACTCAGATTTCTGGAAAAAAAATTGTGAGATAAACTCAGAATTGCAAGGAAAAAAGTCTGAATTATGAGACACAAAGTCGCAATTATCTTTTTTTATCCCGTCACTCTACAATGAATAAGAAATGATCATCAAAAATGTGTTAGTCACATAAAATAAAGATAAAAAATTATAATTTTTTCAACTTTTTTGATGCAAAAAACTTCAAAAGCTAACCTCCAGAAACATAATATAAATGACTCTATATATCATCACCCTTTTATCTCCATGTCTTGGAAACTGTACTAGCATAAACAAATTAATGCCATCAAAAATGATCATTGTATAAATGTTATGAGGGAAAATATTGTTCCATGTGATTTGCCTTTTAGTTACTCCGCGTCACCTCAACAATAGTGCTACATTACTAAAACTGCACGCGTATTGTTTTTGAAGCATTAAAGCACGCAGCTCAGTCATGGCAGTGGCTAGTGGGTTGTTTTCTGCGCATTGATGGTGTTAGACACAGCCATTTAACTTGTCAAATAGCATCTCTTTATACAAACGCACACACAGACTCAAGCTTTCTCCTTTATGTGTGTGTGACAGCTGTGCAAAGGTTGCACAATGAAAGAGGGTAGTTGGTGTGCGTGTGTGCGTGTGCGTTTAAGTGTAAGGACATTTGGGAAGATTTCATACGCTGTGGGCCTCGTTTTGCCAACATTTTACAGACGACTGAATGGAGCACTTAGCCCTGTGTAACAGAGAAAGAGCCTTTTGTTACAGCGGGAAAAGAGTAACCCGGGCTCACTGATCCTGCTACAGAAAGAGAGAGAGATATGAGTGACGGCAGCAGAGAGAAGTTGCCGCTGCACTGAATATGAGATATTTACAGGATGTCAAAGAGGCAATCGAAAACAGATGAGACAAAAAAAAAGCACACACACGACAGAAACAAACAAATGCACTTGTTCAAAATTCTAATTTAGTACACATTTAAAGCATCTCTATCCACCTAACAATCTGATAACCAATACATATTTAAATAGTAAATTATTTATACATCATGTATTTTTGTAAGTTATTACATTTGCAAATGAAGTATTTGTTGTACTGCCTTTCATTTTCGATGAAATGAAATGAAATGAAATGAAATAAAAACACAGTAACTACAACAATACTCTGCTGGCACTGTGAAAGAACAATTAAACCGATATACATATTTTTTCATCGAATACTTTTTTTCTCTCCATTTTCTCTGAATCTGTTCAGCCAAATCTGTCAAAGGACAGATAGAACAGATTTCAGTGGAGCACAGTCATGAGAATCACCATTATAATAATTTGATAAAAATAAAATAGGATGATGTTTAATAATATAATGCGATATATATATATTAACAGTGATTTCATATATATGCAAGTACCTGTATACATATATATATACACACACACACATACATATACATATGTGCGCGCGCACACACACACACACACACACATTTGATATATTTATAAAACACACACATATAACTGATATATTTATAAAAAGGTCATTCATAAAAATGTTACAATGATGCAAAAAAACATATATATAAAATGCAATTTCTATTAATTGCATAATTAATCTAATTTTCTTTTCTTCTGATTTTAGGGAGAAACATGGCCAATATTTCCGTGCCATTCACCGAAAGAGCAAGGAAATCCTGTTTCAAATTCATATTTTAAATACGACCACTTTAAATGATGGGCTTTGCTAACAAAACAGCCTTTAACTTGTTATATTGAGCAAATTAACACTGAAACAAATTTACATATCAAATAAACAAACAGGAGCAGAAGAGCTTCATTAAGCGATATGCGGTTGAGGACAATGTAATACAGCATTCCCAATCCATTACCCCTCTACTTTATTCATCCATCAGCAGAGTGTGAGAATAGAGAGAGAGAGAGGAAAACAGAGGCCTGTGGGGCAATCCATAAATATCTCTGACTCATCTCTGCTTATTTATGCTCTAAAGACTAACTGTACATACTCTCTCTCACACACACACACTCTCTCACACACACACACACGCACACACACAAACCATCATTAGCTAGTTAACTAAAACAAAAACATCTCACTGTGGGGCAATCCATAAATATCTCTGACTCATCTCTGCTTATTTATGCTCTAAAGACTAACTGTACATACTCTCTCTCTCTCTCTCTCTCTCTCTCACACACACACACACGCACACACACAAATCATCATTAGCTAGTTAACTAAAACAAAAACATCTCACAAACACATGCCCTAATGTTCCACACATGCAAATGTCACCTTCAACATCAAAACCTCAACATCCCTTTTATGTTAATGAAGTCTGGTTTAATTGTTTTGGTTAAAGTTGTGTTACATTTTTGTCTGGGTATTTGTTAAGCGCAAAAAAACAAACAAAAAAAAACTACATAAAACATAAAACCTACCTTTGTTCAAAACAGCCATACAGTGGTCTGGTTTAAAGTTACAAAGTCTTTATGATGGATTTGTTTTACAAACATGCAGCTTTTCACTTCACAAGATGTTAATTGATGGACTGGAGTCGTGTGGATTACTTGTGGATTATTGTGATGTTTTTATCAGATGTTTGGACTCTCATTCTGACGGCACCCATTCACTGCAGAGGATCTATTGCTTAATATATTTCTCCAAATCTGTTCTGATGAAGAAACAAACTCATCTATGTTTTTGATGGCCTGGGGTGAGGACATTTTCATTTTTGGATAAACTATTCCTTTTACCCAAAAATAAACTCACCTTCAAGTCATTACAAATATGTATGATTTGTTTCTTCCATAAAACACAGAGCAAGGATGTTTTGAGATGTTTGTGAGAAGTCCATGCTGCTCTTTGCTATATAATGTAAGAATGTAGATGGTGATCAGGGGCTGTCAAGCACCAAAAAGGACACAAAAGCACTATAAAAGTGGTCCATATGACTTGCATGGACAAGAGCAGCATGGACATTCAGCAAAATATCTTATTTTGTGTTCCACAGAAGAAAAAAGTATCAATTATTTATTTTAGAAGGAACTATTCCTTTAAACTCAAAGCTACTTCGAGTAACATTGACTAATTTGACATCAGTCCACAACCATAATGCAAATCAAGCCTATATATTACAGTAAAATAATCAGTACAATAGAGTGGAATAACAAAAATGAATCAGTGTATGAGGAATCTTACAGGGTGAATTAATGAAATCCTGTAACTGCTTGATGGAATTATTAATAATAAACTGATTCACAGAAAAATGTGAGCAGGGAAATACTGCCATAAATGAATATTAAATCCATCAAGAAGGCTATTTTGATTCAGATTTTGTTCTTTTTAGTGTTTTGATCTATTCTATAATTGCTAAATACAGCACGTCATTTAGCATAAATCATTGGTTTGAAATGAAGCATGTAAACACGCACACACACACACACAAGCAGGCAAATTTGTGCATGTGGCGAATAGCTGCCGTGACATGACTCAGTGTGACATCATGTCGTTTATCATCCCGGAAACATCACATTGTCCTCTGATCAAAGTAACAGAATATATACGGCACATACCAGCACATGCACTACATTCATTGGCAACTAAATATCAATAAATCGAATATGACTTATATCAGTCATTCGGGGAAAAAAATTATACAGCTTACAAGATTAAAGGCATGAACTAATTTTTTTTTAATTTTATGAATGGTATTTGTCCATGCAAAATTCACCATAATAATTGCCAGGCCAAATCCATAGCAAATGTGGTTGCTAAGCTGAGTGGTTTTTATAGCACACTGCTACGGTTGCTTCCTGGGGTGCTCATAAACACATGGGCTTTTTTATAATAGATTTTTTATAGTCAAACAGGTCAAAAACACAAATGTGTGAGCATGTAACAAGAGAAAAGTTCATATTAATACTTAGGGTTAGCGATTTGATCACAAACTCCAAAAGCAATTTATGATATCATTATATATACACATACTAAATTAGTTTTTTAGTTTACCAAATTTAGTTTTAGAGCTTAGAGCTTTAAATGAATTACACATTTTAATACATCATAAATTACCTGTTATGCCTTAATTTTATTAAAGGGGTCATATAAGGCGATTTCAATTTTTCCTTTCTCTTTGGAGTGTTTCAAGCTCTTGGTGCATAAAGAAGATCTGTAAAGTTGCAAAGACTAAAGTCTCAAATCCAAAGAGATATTCTTTATAAAAGTTAAGAGTTAACCACGCCTACCTAAAACGGCTCGTTCTAACACGCCCCCACATGTCTACGTCACGATGTAGGAAGATTTGCATAACGCCGCCCAAATGTTCACGCAAAGAAAGAAGGCGTAACTTTTATTCTCGCTGTAGTATTGTTGTTGCCGCCGCCATGTCGTGAAGGCGCTGTGTGTTTCATTGTGAAAGCGAAACTACTTTGTTTGGCCTTCCAAAAGAGGACGATATCCGCTCCGTCAT